TGCAGTACTCATCCATTACTAACAGAGTTAACATTTAAACAGTTTACATTTAACATTTTCAGTTTATAAAAATGGACGTAATTATTTCTTACATGTTTAGTGAAAAGGGAAAACTCTTTTAGTCCATAACAATTATAAATTGTATAAGAAACACACCGCTACAACAAATATTTATATACGTAGATGTGTATAAACAATAAGTGTCGTACTAAATGTTACATCAATAGTGAAAAATTAGTTGAAAATAAAAATACGTGTTTTGTACATGCCCATAAGGAAGAAACTGCTTTAAATCGGCAAAAAAATAAGTAATTTTTGTAAAAAAAAAAGCAGTAGATAGCGTTGTTGAAAAACCATCAAAAATTATCAGACGAGAACTTACACAACATAAGAATGAAGGTAATTTGTTAATATCTGATATAAAACTAATTTCTAGAAATATACAAAATGCTAGAGCCAGTTGTTATCCTAAAATACCAAATTCAAGAAAAGAAGTTCATAATATTTTGAGTTCAATGAATGTAAAAACAGAGATGAAAATTTTATTTTTGAAAATGACAATTTAAATGAGATTATTATATTTTTATGTGATACTAATATTGCATCTTTGAAAAAAAACTGGAAATAGTTTACATGGATAGCACTTTTTAATTATTGTGATAAAAATATCACTCAATTATGTACAGTTCATGGATTAAAAAATAATATTTATATTCTAATAACGTTTTGATTTTTACCGGAAAAACATTGAAAACATATATTGAATTATCAAAAAAAATTAATGCAGTTGGAATAAACCCAATTAAATTTATTTTAGACTTTGAGATATCAATGCACCAAGCAATAAATATTATATTTCCGACAGCACAAATATGGGGATGTCGTTTCCATTTGAGCTAAGCTTGGTACCGTAAAATTCAAAGCTTAGGATTTGCACAAGAATTTAATTTTTCAAATGATGAATTAGGAAAGTGGTTGGTTCATACATTTAGTTTACCGTTTCTTAATCCAATGGAAGTTGGAGATTGTTTTATAGATAGTTTCATGGTTGAAAAACCAGAAAATAATAAAATAAATGAATTTTGCGATTATTTAGTGACTAATTACATCCAAAATACGAGTACGTTTCCCCCTAGTATTTGGGCTAGTGCTAGTTCTGATACAAGCCTTACTACAAACGCTTGTAAAAGTTTCCATTCTGAATCCAATTCAAATTTTTATCATTATCTTCCTAATATTTTCAAAATAATAGAAGTTTTAAAAATGTTTTAAACTAATTCATGTATAAAGATAAGAACATCAGATTTCAATAGACTCAAAAAATTTACTCAAAAAATAAGTAAAAAAAAAAGAAAAAAAAAAACTTTATCAATAATAAAATATTAGATTATAACTTAAAAATAATTACACAGTATGACTACATAAAGTGTTTGAGCTTTCACAATAAGCCAAATAAAATTTGATTTTTCTATTATTATTATTTTATACCTATAAAAATAATATGTGGACCACACATAAACGTTGTATTATTAATTTTTATTATATATTATATGGAAACAAAACAAATTTTAACCACACCAACTACATTTAAGTTGTCAGTGCTAAGTCTGAATAAAGTGGGAAGGAAGTTTGTATTTGATATAATTTTTTTTCGTGTGGGAACTTATGTATGCATACCCAGGGATAATTTTTACCTGCCATATCTCGTGTGGAAATTAACATTCGCCCATTCAATTTGCTTAAAATTATTGACATTGAATCGCAAGTATTTGCTTTTGGTTTGTTGGTTGCTATACTGGCGTATGATGGATTGGATGAGGTTATATTAGATACGTGACGACGTATAGGGACGTGTAGAGTTTGGAATTTTACACTTTCTGGTATATTTATATGTTTTAATAATATTGTAACACTTAAACACCAGTATATATATATATTTTTTTTTTTTTGGTGGGTAACGGCCTTTAAGACCAGCCCTTCAAGTATATACTTCTCCATCTATTTCTATCCTCCGCTTCTTCCCTCCATTGCAAACTATCTTATATTCTTCTTACATCTTTAATAACACAATCCTTCCATCTTAAGCGTGGTCTGCCTAAGGGTCGTTTTCCTGCTGGGTTGTTTTCGGATCTTATTATTGATCCCTGTTTCCTCCATGCATATCATGCCCATCTCATTCTTCTGACTGAAATTTTTTTGTGATGTAAGGGCGTTGAAAAAGGTTCTGGAGTTCTTGGTTATGTCGTTTCCTCCATTCTCCGGTTTGATCATCCTTGCATGGTCCAAAAATCCTTCTCAGAATTTTCCTTTCGAAAACCTCCAACCTCATTTGTTCTGCTTTCCTGAGAGGCCAAGTCTCTGAGCCGTATAGCACCACTGGATGTATCAATGTTATATATATTTGAACTTTAAGGTTATTTGAAACAGCTTTAGCGCTCAGTACTTTTCCTAATCCATAATAGCAGTTATTCCCTTTTTTCAATCTAGTATCAATTTCTACTTTTATATTATTGTCATTAGTTAACCAGTATATATATATATATATTAATATGGAAACTATTAGCATTCATCGATGGCAGTTTACTAAGTATATTTATTTTTCAATGATTTATTTAAAAATATTAATTTTTACAGTTGTATTATTCATTTTAATCTAGGATTAGAGTACGTTTTCAGTGGTTACGTGCAGTTAGGTATGTATAAGAATTCTAGAAAAATTTTAGAATTTATCGGGTTCATATACTTAAGTAATCCCAGTTTATTTTCATTTTTATCAAATTCTGAACGATGTAAAGTGTAAAACGTAAAATTAATACAATAATTAATTTAAATGCTTGTAAGAAGTTATAAATTTAAGTGATAAATTAGGCATTTTTTAAAGAAGAAAAAATACGAATTATTATTATTTTTTTTAATTATAGAACACTCGAGGAACTCGTATATAACACATGTTGAAAAGTTACAAAACCAGGAAAATGGTCCTAATAGAAAACAACTCAAGTGCGTTCAGCGTGTGGAACGTGTGGGCAAATATGTGAGAAATTCTAACGCATAAGAAATCGCATTAAAAGCAATCGTTTCTTCGACTAATCGCTGTCAACGAGAATGCTAAGATTACCGTTTGTAGCCTCAAGGCGTATTGTAATTCAATGAGTGATGGTATTATTATTTTGTTGTATCTTCTACTTGATATTTTGTATGGTCATCGTAGTGATGTTTGGCCAAATAATGCACGTTTGCATCATATCCATGAGTGTATACTAAGTGATTTTTTATAACCTAGTATAATATTTTATACTATTAGATTAGATTATATACATTGTCCATTTTTAAAAAGTTTTTGAATTTCGAAAACAATTATTTTATTTAAACTTCATATGTATATATGACTTTTATTAAAAACCAAAATAGTAAATTCTTTTGAAAATAATTTTTTAGATAATACATTTAGATTAAAAATGTCATATAATTAAATATATGGAATTAAACACAAATAGTAGGTAGTATAAAAAAGGTGTTTTTCAAGAGTTCTTTAAAAATTGTGAAAAAATTGAAAATAAACTAGAAATTGTGTTAAATATTTTACTGTAATCACTTAAAAATGATTAGGTATTTTAGTAGTTATGACTTGAATAACTAATGAAAATTTAACTACAAAAATGTCACATGAATATTTACAATTATTTTAGAAAGTTAAACTCCACTGATTTAGTTTTAATAATTTTAAATTTAAAAAAACAATTAAATTGATTTTCTTAGAATAAAATTCTAAAATTTTGGAAAATAAAAATATTCAAGTACTTATAAATAATAAAAACTTCATTAAAATAATTATATACAATGATATTTTATTAATTGAATAACAAAAATCGGTTTTTATGAAAATGATACCGTATATTTATAATTTTTAGTCAATTTTTTGTAATTATTAAGATAATTGTAAGGAAAATCGTAAAACGATCACCATCAAAGTATCAACTAGATAATATTTTCTATAGGAAATATCTTAAGGTCGTAATCACCAAAGTAATCCTTTTAGTCCAAATCGAACGAAAATTAGTGTGTATCAAAATTGTATATGATAGTTAGTGGTGAAGGTCCGAATCTTAGTTGAAAATAAAGCTTGATGGGGCCAAGCCCTAGAAAATTTAATTATTATTAAAATATTAAATATCACTTATCAGTTAATCATGAATATTTCTCTTATCAAAAATAAGAGGCCATGGAGGATTTATACCCTCATATTCCTCCCCCCTCCCATGAGAACGCCCATGCTTGGGAGTCAATCGATCTATATTTCTTATACCAATCTTTATCGGATCACAATGATTGTTTAAAAAAGTCAGCGTCCTCAACAAGGTTTTCTCATTCAGTAAATTATAGCTACATAAAATCAATCACTCTGTATCACTACGAAAACATCGTACGTTTCAATCGTCGGTGTTGATCACGCAGTGATGCCTCTTCCTGTTGCGTATTCAATTGCGGAGAACGAACGCCTACACTTGTATTACGTCTTTGTTACTCCGTCGAACTACGTGTCCTGACTGCGAATCCTTGTATTATGGATATTGCTTACCCTGTATTTGTTTTATAATCATGGCGACAAACTCAAAATCCGAATCCAAATCCAAAATAATAGATACCATGTACGAAGAATGTTGTCTAGGTATGTATAGTTTGAACGAAAGGGGGGGGGGAAACGATTTTATCCAACGGGTTATGTGATTTACATGCGATAAAGGTGATATTAAAATTATACGGTTTTCTCAATGTTCGGCAAGTGTTATTTGATTGTTGAGATAACATAATGTTACAATAATCGTACGGTAAATTATAAAATATAGGGTCACGTATCGGTCGTTCGGAACGCGGTACGTGCAGATCTTCTCACCAATTCATCCGGTGGTGTGGGTGGATAGGCGGACACCGGGGGGTAAGGGGGACCGAAACAATGAATGACGCCCGATCGGCGCGTCACGTGTCCGATTATTCGAGTACTGACCGGTCACCTCGTAGTATCGCGCGCGCGCAATCGGTCCGGATTTGTGCCCTCGTTTGAAAACGCGACTACCCGCGTCGGTCATCGATGTTGGTCGCGCTGTCCTCGACGGCGCAGGCGGCGACGGACGCCACGCACAGGGACCCGCCGGACGGCCACGGCGGTACGTCGACCACGGTGATTGCACTGTCTGCGGCGTGCGCCACGCTCACGATCCTCGTGCTGGCCATGTCCGCGGTCGACGTGCCGTACTTCTGCCGCACGCTGTTCGCCTATGTGTCGGCCACCTGGTGCCAGCGGCGGCCTCTGGGCCTGCTCGAGACGGCCGTCTACTCGTCCGTGTGCCTGACCACCGACCTGGACGTGTACCTGACGCACATGAACAACGCACGGTACCTGCGCGAGATCGACCTGGCGCGCGTCGAATTCCTGCTGCGCACGGGTCTGTGGCGCGAACTGCGTCGCCGCGGTGGCCTCATGTTCACCATCGCCAACAGCGTGCGGTACCGCAAGTTCGTGCGCACGTTCGCCCGGTATGAGATCCGCAACCGGCTGGTGTACTGGGACGACGTGTCCGTGTTCTTTGAGTACCGGTTTGTCACAAAGGCGGACGGGTTCGTGCGGGCCATCGTGTACAACCGGCAGCGCGTGGTCGGTTGCAGTGCGGACGAACTGGTCCGCTCGGTGGCCGGTACCAAAACGGTCGACGGCGGTGCCGTCCAAAGACCTGAGTGTCCAACCGAGATCCACCACTGGATACAGTCCAACCTCGTGTCCAGCGCCAATTTGAGAGCCGAGAACGGAGGCCGCGGCAACGATCCCTGACCATCTACACCCATCGTCCGTACGTCATCACATCCCGTCCATCACGGTGGCCACCGCACTCCCAGGTCCCGGTCAAAGTTCAATTGCTTCGCGGTGTTTACCATTTATCCTCTTTGTCCCTACCTATTTTCGTCACATCGCCCACTTACTGTTGTCTTCGCGTGATCCTGTGAACAACCAATAACGAATAACATATACGTGTACGTATTATAATTATATTTTATCTAAAAAAGGATTTAAGCGAAATTTTCGTATGACACTTTTGACGAGTAAAACGTAGTACAAATGTTGAGCTAACGTGTTAGAATCGGCAATAAAAAATCAATTCGTGACCCCCATCAGAGAATGCTATTATGTATAATTTCGATTTAAAAATTAAAAATTTTAAAAATTTGATTTATTTGTTATCTGAAAAAATCACCAAAGACATAACCAAATATTAGAATAATAAACTGATTACCACTTTGTTTGAAAAAATATGAAGATTTTTTTTTATCCAATTTACGTGTGTCTTATTTTTCATTATTAATATTTTTTTAATTACAATCGTGGATTTTTAGAAAAATCTGTAATAGGTTCTGTGTCTATTTTTCCATGTAAAAGCAAATCTCTGTTGGCAAATTTCTCTCAATGCAAAGTCAATACGTGCAACGATATTGAAACTCTTAACTTTTTTTCTTCCGTGAATTTTTTTCGTGGGAGCTTTTATAATTTCCGCGTCATAACGAGAAACTGCCACTAAACTTACATTTATCACTGATGGACATTGGTTTTGTTTTTTGTATTTGTATTCAATGTAGGTCAAATACTTAAAAAAAAAAGTATACAAACGTTTGCAGATAAATAATGCGTTTAATTATCATTCAAATATCGTATATTATATAACATATATTTATAATATTAACTTTGTATATATTTTGTTTATATTAGTTTTTTTAATAAATGTATTTCCTTTCGCTCAATTTTTTTTGGTTGAATATTATAATACATGTGTAGTATTGATTTATTAAATGTTATGTAGTCAGTAAAATAAATGTATAATTTTTATTTTTTACAACTGTACTGTTACGTGATTTATTTGATCACCTTGTCCTCGGTCATTTTATTTTCATTGCCATGAAAAATATACACACGAATAAAAATTACACTACTGCCGGGGGGCAATCACAGTAAATTTACATCAAGTGCGTAGAAAGTGGTACAATTGACTAGACGTGCTATAATAATATTCTGTTTCGTTCGATATAAATATCGTTGCATTTAAACGGTATTTGTATTATATTTTTTTTTTTTGTCAGTAAACGAGGATCTACTATTGTTAAAGATTGTTACTCATACTCAAACTAAACTAATGTTAGTATTAAAATGAAACAATAACAAAAACCCTGGGACTTCTTTTTAATAAACGAAACTCATTTATTGAAAGAAAGGTTTCGCTTCTCCGTCGGAAAACATTTCAAGTACCTAGTACAATAAAATATATAAAACGTCTTATTAATATTTAATATTCGTTTTGGTCGCAACAGGACTATTAATAATAATCATCACATTAGAACCAACTCTTTTGGTTTGTAATAGATTAATTATAAACATATATAAATTTAATAATCCCATTGGAACGAGTTCTTTTGAATCTGTGGCCTATGCAAGCAAAACTTTTACTGGACTGTTCCAATGAGAAGATACATCGGAGTGATACTATAAAAAAAAATTTTCATAAAATATAAGTTCATTAAAGTATTGAGTACCATGACTATATGGTTACTCTTAGGATAGCGTTTTATTGGTTATTGTATCGTTTTCAAAGTTTACTGGCCATAATTCGACATACTCAAATTTCAGAGTATTCATTCAACTCAATGTGTTTCGATTGTTGTGGAAAATAATTTAAAATAATTATTTGTCATGTTTAAAACAGTTACAAAAATCCAGCCATAATTGGGTAAAATACAATTAATGATAATAATAAGTACCAATTTGATATTATATGCTAATTTATTGAGTGTTTTCATATTAAGTTTATAACTATGTACAAAGTAAATAGAGTTATATTATTTACACACATTTATGACTGATAAATATAATTATTGAGCTAATTAAAAAGCTATCATAATATCAAAAGTACTCCAACATTAAATCATTTTTAGTGTTTATATTTTTCATATAATAATATATACTTATAATTTTATATTTTGTCCAATTTACATTTAAATGGAAAATCTTTTAAAAAAATATCTAGACTGCAGTTATTAATGTGGGATAATAATTTTTTGTTATGCTATATATGTTTAAATTTATAAAAACTTATTTTTCATTCTTTTAAATTATTGTATTATTAAGTTATATTATGACAGATTTTGATTTTAAATGTGTTTTTTGTCTAAATATACAAATGTGCTTTCTTAAATGCAAATTTGGATTAAATAATAAATTGCAATCATTTTATAAAATAATATGTTTAAAATAAAGATCAGTTTTTAAATTTTTTTTCGAAATTGTATCGTGATCAATTTTACCAATATCTTATACAACAATTAAATTATATCGCCAATTTCTAAAAATGTTTTTGTTATTCGTCGACACTCATCATTGTTATTCAAAAACGCTATTAAATACGTGATTGCAATCATTATTAGCACCCTAGATATGTCTAATAAATTCTAGAAAATATTTTATAAACGATTGCGAATGGTTGATTAATAGAAACTTCAGTGAATTAATTAAATTAAAAAACCTATTTCTTTGCAATGGTAGATGATTCTAACTCAGTTATAGAGTCAAATATTGTGTTTCCTAATTCAAATTATAAACTTTTTAATTCTAAATAAATTTTTGACTTATTTATTGAAACATTTATACATATATATATATATATAAAAAAAAAAAACTTTTGATGTTTGATATTATTTTTTTAAATTTTTTAACTATCCACAAATTTGATGACTTAAATTATTTTTTTTCCCCCATAATACGATATCTTCTAGTACTACTTTTAGTACTTACTTTTGGGAGTGATAATGCTTTATTTTACCATACTTTTTTTCCCCATTTAATAATATGTTTCCCTAGTTAATTAAAAATTTATAATTTTTTTTTTAATTTTAATTTTTTTAGTTGTTTCAAATTAAAATTACATTAATTTATCCTATGAATTAAGCATGCTTCTGCCCTCCATAGAAGTTCCCTATTTATTGCACTTGAAATTTTTTCTCCAGTAAGCTGATTACATGCTACATTTATTTTATCTTTCAAATGCATAAGACTAGTAGGTGGGTCTGTATAGACGATCGTTTTTAGAAATCCTCACAAAAAGTAGTTTAGTGGTGTGAGATCTGGGGATCGAGGTGGCCATTGTATTATCCCATAATTTCCTATCCAACGATTTTCAAAATTTTCATTTAAATAATTCTTCTCGACTGTTAGGTTATGTGCTGGAGCTCCAACTTGTTGCAAAATCAAATTGTTTCTTGTTGCAAGAAGAATATCGTCTAACACGATCGGTAACTTATTAATTAGAAATTTTAGATATCATCTTCCATTTAATGTACCGTTGTAGAAGTAAGGTCTCGACAATTTAACTCCAATCAAACTGCATTAAATATTTGTTCTCCAGACACATTGTTTATTTGTTTCTATAACTCAATGGGGATTTTGATTGTCCCAATAACGATTATTTTGTTTATTTATAATCCCATTGTTAGTAAATTTAGACTCGTCTGTCCACAATAAGTAATTTAAAATTATAGACTGTTTTCTAATTCAGTAATCAGTCAAGAAATAAACATAATCCTACGTTCGGCATTACCTTGACGTGTGCAACTATTTCAACTAATATCTAACATTTAAAAATCCATAACTCGGCTAATTTTTAACTTTGGAAATTGGTTTAACCATTAAAATTTATAAAAAAATACCTGTCAAAATAATTACCAGAAAAAAGGGGGTCGTCTTTTAAAAAAAAAAAATTGTTATGTGCATGCGCGAAATTAAATGGCCTTCAATTATTTTAATTAGTATAATAAGTGTATGACAAAGTATGCTAGGTATCCAAAAAAAAAAAAAATAATTCAAATATATTTAATATATACAGAATTATAAAGTGTTTCCAACTATTGATTACATGTACTGTATATAGTTATAATATTTTATTCTAAAACTGAACTGCTTTATAAAATATTAGTTTTATATACAAAATTATTAGTGCTTATTTCTTAACTCAAAACGTAATTTATGGTTTAATAACGATAGTGGAATTAGTGATTGTACAGTTATTTTTGACCATGGAATGGTATTTAAAAATCTTATATTTTAGCATTAGCTTGGTATACCCGGGTGAAATAATTCCTATATTTAAAAATGGAAATTATCATAGTCCGGGGACTACCGTTCAGAAACAGTTTATTGTGATTTTATTAATGATATCTGTCAATGATAACGGAATAATGGAAAGATAAAATTTATTTTTTTAGAATATTCCGCGAGTACGAAATCAATATGGTGATGCGCATAATATATAAAAGTGATAGGACTATTATTTAATTCTAATGCGTGTTTCGTGTAGACGGCTGCAGGGTAGAGCGAATGACAACGAGGCGTATTATTTTTAATTTAAATTATTGTCATTAATTTATTTATCTGGCCAATATAAATGCACAAACGAAAGAGTGATCAAAACAGCTTTTTGGAATTCTATTGTGAAATCTACAACAATATTGGATGATAAATCATTATTTTCATTTGTATAAATAGCAATCAATAATTGATCAATCATTATATTATATGCGTACTACACAAAATATATTAGGTTTTCAAATAAAACTTTTAACGTTAATATTCACTCAAAAAAAAAAAATTAAAAAATAGTTAATAAGTTTAATATTTAAATTAAAAATCATTTAAACTAATTTTTTGGAATTTAGTTTTACATATACATAATTTGTTGTACAAAAAAAAAAGTTATTATTATTTTTATGAAAATGTTAGCAATAATTTGTTTTTTAAACAGACTTTACAGCAATTTTAGATGGTTTTTATGTAAATGCATAAGTACAAAACAGGAATACAGGAATTATTATAGGCAACTGAATTTCAGATAAAATAAGTTATGTACTTATAGTAAAATAAATGTATATTTTATATAATTATTTTAAAAATTACAAACATGTACTGTTTGGAAATAAAAAATACTTTTAGGATTAAATATCTTTAAACTATATGAATTAAGAAAAAAAATATATAATAATTTGAATAAATATTAATTTTCAGTACATATTATCTCTTAAAATTGTAGATGTTAATTGCTTATTGTACAATGTTTATCTAAAATTGTTTTTAACTATCATTTCTTTACAGATATGATTTAAAAAAAAAATTGATTATAAGATTGTGAACCAATTGTTATAAAATTAAACTTAATTTCATCATCATAATATCCTTTGAAATTATTTTCATACAAGTTAATTTAGTAAATTGTATTTGTTAATCGTGTTTTACGATGTGGAAAACTAAATACATTTTATTTCACCACATAATTGTAAAACTAGTAACGGGCTTTTCGTGTTCATCGAAACTACTATAAGTGTACTGAACCTGATCATAAACTGATCATAAAATTCTTCATATTGTTTATGGAGTATTTTCTGAACAATAGTAAAAACATCATCATATACCGCGATTGAATGAAATATTTATTTTTTTTTATTGTGGTCTTCATTAAACAATATTTTTATGTGTAATTTAAATTGTAAATTCAAAACAGCAAGTGTGGTTTAAACTGCCTAGATAATAAAACAAATGTTAAGAATCTTAACGTGAAACTTATGTAATAAGCGTAACAATTTATAAGAATCGCAAAAAAAAAAAAAAATA